AGTCGGATGCTTAACCACCCAGGCACCCTGAAATTATTATTTGTAAAGTGCTTAGTTTAGTGCCTGCTATGTGTTTGTTAAATGAATGTGTATCAGTGTGGATGGCTCACAAATAAATGGGTCGCGACAAAAAAGCCAATGTGTCAGAGATTGTTTGGCTGCTGGAAACATACTGAGTTCTTGTGTGCAAGTTCAAAGATAAAGTATACATGCGTTTTGGATTCTTTTCTGCCGCACTCTCCGTCTGTGCCACTCCACAGTGGGTGCACACTCAAGTGTGTGTGTGTCTGTGGGTGTCTTTCTCACACTCCAGCCTTCCCCCTTGCACCTCCCCTTCGCCCTTTTAGGTTCCCTTAGTCCTCACACCCTGGCCATTCTTGCTCTTGTGGGGGAGGAGTCATGAACATGGACCAAATACTGTCACGGGGAGCCGGAACCTTCAGGTCTCTGGGCCCTTCTTGGCTCCTCTGGAGGAAGCTGCTGGGGCAGCAGGTACTCAGCTAACTGTAGGGCTGCCTTCTGAGGAGGGCAGGGCTAGGGGAGCCTAAGGCAGGAGCCTCCCAGGAAGGGAGCCTGGCCACTGGCTAGGGGAAGGCTGACTCTCCTCTCTAGGCAGATCTGGAGTCTGGGCAGTAAGGGAGAGCACTGGGCATACCTCACTTGGCCACTTCTCAGGCATGGAGGCTTCTGGGAGGAGGGTGCACCTTGGCATGCTGATGGCAGGGGGCTGAGGTGGGTATGGCGGGTGGCATCCCTTTCTCACTGGTCTACAATGCCCCGTGGTTGGGGCTGGGCATCTGCTTCCTGGGGTGGGGGGCAGGCGCTGCCGAGGGGCTTCAGGAGCCAAGGGTAGAGTGCAGCTGGTTGCTGGTTGCTGGGGTTCCTCTGGGAGATGTTGGCTGGCTGGATGCACCCCAAGGCCGGAGCTCAGGGAACCCCAGGGGAGGCATGGCCACGCTAGCTTCATATCCTCCTGCCAAAGCCCTGCCTTAGTTGCCCTCGCTTCTGCATCCCTCTGTCACTCTTCCCTCCCTGTTGTGCTTCGAGTGCCTTCCAGGCAGGATCCAGGTAGGTTTTCCCCTGCTTCTCCCCAGCATATCATGGCCTGTGTCCGAGGCCATCTGGACTGGGAAACACCTCCCAGCGCTTGTCCTCGAGTGTCAGAACTGGCCTGTTTAGGGCAAGCTCCGGAATGTCGGTTCAGAGTGGAGTACGTATTTTTATTTTTCTCAGTGGTGGTGTGTGTCCACGAGTGGGGTTTCTCTGCCCACCTGGGCTGAGGTCTCGGTGAGTACTGGGGCCTTCTTTCCAATAAGGTGTAAATCCCTTGGAACCTAGAAACTGTCTGTTGGGGACGCATGGTTCCTTTGGAGGCCGGCAGTTGGGTCGGCTGCGACTCAGGGATGGAGTGAGCCACTTGCCCAGGTATCTGGGAGGTAGGCTGCCCTCAGGGCTCTGCGGTAGCAAATACGGGGGGACTGCAGGCACCCCATCTTGGGAGCGCAGCTTCCGCTCCTGCTGGGATAGGTGAGTGGGGGTCAGGGGAGCCTCATGTGCATGGGTGCCCCGCCCATGAGCAAGCGTGGGCAGGAACCCTGTGTCTGTTAAAAGGCAGAGGCTGCCTTGTGGTTGGAGTGTTGCCAGAGGCTATAAATAGCTGTGTGTGTGCAGAAGCAGAGCCCAGGGAGGAGGGAGGAAGGGGGCGGCCCTGGGCTTCCAGCTGGCAGCAGAGCCTGGGTGCGGTGTGGGAGGGGCTTTGGAGTCTCCCCATCTCCCCAGGTCCTCCTTGGCTCTGAGTGCAAAGCTTTTGGAGGAGTTGGTATGCACAATCCCTACTTGATGGGCTGGGAGCCCTCCTGGGGGGCTTGTAATGTGAAGGGTTGTCACAGGCAGCAGGGAGGGGTATGGCTCCTGATAGGACAGCTAATGTGCCAGGTACTGTCATAACCACTCTTAAAATGCGTCAACTCATTTGGCTCAAGAACAGCCTGAGGAATGAGGTGCTTCTGTCATCCCTTTTCCACACATGAGGAGACAGAGGCACAGGGTGGATTGGTAAGTTACCCAAGAAGTATCAGAACCAGGATTTGAACGATGTCTGGCCTGCTCAGGGCTGCCTTACTCTCAGTTGTCTGTAGGAGGATCTGGTCAGAGGGGGGGGGTCCAGTTATATCCTGAGCCCTTGGGTCCTACCTGGAGCCTTGAGATTTGGCATTCCCTAGCCCTGTCCACCTGTGTCCTGCCCATGGTAGTGGCCAGAGGAGCCTCTGCTTGGTGAGTGGCATGAGGAGAGAAGTTGGGCCGGCCTTGGCCACTGTCAATGTTGGGACTCCTCGCCTTGCACAGGGGGCTTGTTGCTTGTTGTCTGCATGGAGATGGGAACTCCCCTGAGGACCCTCAGGCTGGGGCTGCAGGCTCAGGCCACGCCTCCTGTAGTCCCTTCCCTTCAAATCCTGCCCTCGCCGGGTGATAACCATGTCCTCTGTCCATTTATTCTTCCATCTTTCTACCTGCCATCTGTCTGGAACTGGTTCTAGCACTCAAGATAGTCAGGGCTTCGCCTTCATCAGCCTTGCAGGCTCGTGGGGGAGGCTGACATTTCAAAAGTGATTTTCAAGTACATTTATAATGTTTTATTTCTTAATATGAGTATTCACTATGTTATTTTCTCTTGGAGGTTGTCTTTGGTTACATTATTTTTACACATTTTGAATGTCTGAAACATTTCTTTTAAAAAAACAATAGGCAGTCAAGAGTGGTAAATTAGGGGTGCCTGGGTGGCTCAGTCGTTAAGCGTCTGCCTTCGGCTCACGTCATGATCCCAGGGTCCAGGGATCGAGCCCCGCATCGGGCTCCCTGCTCAGCGGGAAGCCTGCTTCTCCCTCTCCCACTCCCCCTGCTTGTATTCCTTATCTCACTGTCTCTTTCTCTCTGTCAAATAAATAAATAAAATCATTAAAAAAAAAAAAGTGGTAAATGAGGTGATGGAGGAAGCACAAGGGCCTGTGGAGGTAAGAGAGTTTGCCTGGTCTCTGGAGAGAGAAGAGCCAGAATTTACAGGAGAAAGTGGGGAGCATCCTGCAGCCAGAGATAGTAACTTGTGATAAGCCCAGAGGTGGAGCATATTCAGGGGCCTGGAAACATGGTGTGATGGCGGTGGGGGAAGCAAGATTGAGGAGTAGCTGGCACCCCTACCTGCAGCTCACCCCATCCCTTTAGGTTCTCCCCGAAAACCTTAAGCCTTATGCTCGATAAAGGGCCTGGCTGGGGGAAGCCAACGTGCACTCCTGCATGAGTCCCTTTGTAGACCCTGATGCTCTTCTTATGGACCAGGCTGGGTCCCAGCTGCCTGGGTGGGTTGGGAGGCCACTCTTCTTACAAGTGTCCTTGGATACCCAGAACCATGGCTAGACACTGGCATTCTGATAGGATGACATTTTGAACCCTTGGAGCTTTGAGATTTGCTGCTTGTGCCTGGCCTCTGGAGGAGCCTCTTGTCACTGAAGAGGGCTGCAGAAGGGGTGGGGTGACTAGAGAATGACCTGCAGGGTGGGGGGGCTTCCCTCCTGACAGCCAGTCATTGCCCTTCTCCCTGGGTGTACCATGGCATATCGAGTTCTTCGCTCACGATGGCCTCTGTGGGCGTGGAGCAGAGGATGAGGGATGCTTTGGGCTGTTAGGATGCTGGGCACTTAGCTCTCCCTCAGGTTTGGGGTGAGATCTTCTCTTCTGGCTGCTGGTGGGCTGGCTGACTGTTCATCCGTGGGGGTGACTCTGACCTGTCCTTCCTCCTTCCTGGGGCGGGAATACCAGCTAGGGGTGGCATCAGGTCCCTGGCCTGCAGTAGGCCCAAGAAGAGTGGCGAGGTTAGGTGGATGTTTGGTGCTGATTTCCTCTTGGGTGTTTGTGGTTTTTGGCGGTGAGGTTGATCATGGGTGTCCTGTAAAGGGACCATGGTAGGGCACTCGCAGACAGAGTTCTGGAGAGCTCTTCAGCCCCGGCGTCAGGGGCAGGGGCCATAATCTGTTTCCTGGGAACCTCCTTTGGCATCTCCTTCCTCCTTCCCATTACAGGGCTTTGGGAGTCTTGGGGGCAGTGGGGCAGATGGGAGGGCTGGGACGGGGTTGCTTGGGAGGGGTTGGTGAGAACGGTGGATTTGGTGAATGCTTGAGGCCATATTTGAAGGAAAGAATATTTGAAGGGTGCAGTTGGGGGTCCAGGTGTTTGGCCACCTGGATGGCACTCACGCAGGGGGTGGAACAGGGCACAGGAACGGTCGGGAGTGCTCACAGGGGTCTTCAGGGGCCAAGCCCAGCTGGGAGGGTTCTGTTAACCATCTCTAGTCACCAGCCAGCCCTCCTTCTGCTTGGCGCACGTACTCCACATCCTGACTCTGGAAGCCTTACCCTGAGCACGCTGGCCTGATTCTTAGACCTTCTCCTGCCCTGCGGAGCACCAGGTGTCGTTCCTGGGTGCTGGAAGGGCACTGGACTGGAGGGTCCTTATTTCCCATTCAGTCTGGACGGGGGTGGGGGACACACCAGCAGTGTGTCTCCCCAGGATGAGACAGACAGCGACAGCAGGAAGCTGCCTCTCGGAGTGTGCCCACACATGGTCCCTGAGGTGTGTGGCCGAGTCACCTGAGATTCTGTGGGGTGAGGAGGGGGCTGGAGGTAGAGGGTGGTGGTGTTTAAAACTGTGGTACATTCTACCCCCATTTAAGCTGTCCAGTATGGGCTAGGCCCAGGAATGTGTATTTTTAGCAGCCCCCCCTCCCCAGTGATTCTACTGTGCCCTCCATTTCTGCTGCTGCGAGGGAGCCATCCCCACCCCCACCCAGGAGCCTCGGGCATCAGTGGAGCCCCTTTGTGCGCGTGTAGCCATCAGTCTGGCTGTTAGACACCCACCCACCACCTAGCCTGCCGCAAGGTGGCTGGGGACTCAGCACAGGCGCTGGGGTTCGTGGAGCACTCAGCCCTTCTCTCATCTCCCGGGCACAGGTTCCGGGCGTGGGGAGGCCGAGACTCGGGAGTGCATTTACTACAACGCCAACTGGGAACTGGAGCGCACCAACCAGAGTGGCCTGGAGCGCTGCGAGGGCGAGCAGGACAAGCGGCTGCACTGCTACGCCTCCTGGCGCAACAGCTCCGGCACCATCGAGCTCGTCAAGAAGGGCTGCTGGCTGGACGACTTCAACTGCTACGACAGGTGTGCGGAGCCCGCCCTCTCCTCCCCCCAGCCCC